TTGACTGCTGTGTTGGGTAGCCTAATCAAAATTGGCTAAAAAGGACTGGTAAGGCCTACGCGTTTTAGATATCATAAATCATTCCTCTTTAACAATGAATTCACAGCACTGATATATATTATAGTTTTTTTATTTTTTCAACTTGTACTGTTAGAAGTCTTTTCTTTGTCACCAGTAAGTTAAGTTACACTTTAAGAATGCGTTACATCTGTTGGGTGCACTCTGACTTGTCTCTTTTGGTTAATTTTTCGAACGAATTTCTCGGCAAACGATACTAACCAAGGAACAACAAGCTTGAAAAATGTTGTCAAACCTCCATAGAGACCTAGGATCGTAGTAATGACAATGATCAAACTGTTGCGTTCAGTGAGCGTCACATAACAAGAGAGAGGATTACATTGTTCGAAGAAATCACGATATGAAACATTAGACGAACGCGCTTCTATAAAGAGTTGTTCAGTGATTGAGTCAACGGTAGCATATGCAGAAAAACGAGTTTCATTGTTATTCAACGAAGTGACCAACGAAGGTAAAGACATGTTCAATGAAGTAGTTAGAAGGTCGATACATGACTGTTCATAAAGACATTCGAGTGTACTTCGGAGAAGCGCTTCGAGCGGGGTACAACCAGTTCGATAACCAGGAATAGAGGGAATCGATGGTTGAACGCATGCTGCTGATGTGGCACAACTGCAGTTCCCGTAGAACTGTGAACGAAAGTAAAGAGGTTTAAGAACGTAAAGAAATGTACTAAATGAAATCTGATTTGCTTGAACATAATAATTAGTAGAATATGCAGAAATATACCCATTACCTTGCACAACACCACGTAAAAATTGAAACGAATTCCAAAATGAATCGGGTAATGTCGACTGAAAGTTTGCGATTGATGCATTTGTTTGTTTGTTAAAAAGATCAATGTCAGCCATGTAAGCAGAGATGACTGATGATGAAAGAAACTGTTCACGAGCATCGTTTATATTATCTTCGACGAGATTACATAAGACCGAAAGAGCTTGAAAATGGGTAAACGCTGTGCCTTGAAGTGTGAACACATTGAAGTTTGTTTTTGAGATATTTAGTTGCTTGTATATTTGAAACAATTTCTGTAGATAAACAGCAGAGACGAATTGACTCGTGCATACTGGATGAAGATCGAATGTGAGCTTAACGAATGTTGAATATGGAATAGATAATTGGGAACATGGACAACTAATAGCATCTAGAGCAAAGCGCTGTTGCAACTGTTGATATTGATCAAGCGATGGATTCGATACGGTGAAGGTGTTGGAAGAATATACCAACAAATTGTTAAGAACAAGAGTGAATAATGATATGATAAGAAGAACTAAATAGACGCGCGTTGCTCGACATTGTTGTTCAACTGTGTTGTTGCTCGTCATGTTGTCAAATACATTTAAATTCTTTAACCACCCATAAAATCTCAACATAAGCGCTCTTCGAGAATAACCTGCAAAAGATTGGTGTGTTACTGAAGACTATAGGGGTTTCATAAGATGAATTCATTCTCTGTAAAGTAATTGTTGTTTTGAAATTAGACAAACACAAAATGAATACAACGTTTTAGTCTATTAAATTTTATTAAAAATATTCTGAAGAAGGTCGTATTTCTTTCACATTACTTTAGTAGTGAACTTTCAGTATAAAAAGAGAGACATAAGCGATGCCACCTTCGATCAGTTTTCTTGTCTGTTGATCCTCATTCTCAACTGCCTAAAGTCTATCCAATTTTGCGGTTTTGCTATGAGTCTGGTAAGGACTAATGATTACACGCGAATATATCTCAGACAATACAGAGTTGACATTCAGCATTGGAGACTGAATAGTTAGGCCTCATCCTGCAAAATCTAATTGCTTATAAGATATCCTGTCCTACTCAACTGTGCTTAGTCCATTAGCGAGAAAAAAACAAAAGTGGCATCACTTGCCTCTCGTTTATCATCTGACGTCCAAAGTTTAAAAGTCTTATTTTTATACTCATTGTGTAGAGAATGAGAAGCCATACCACATGCATTCTTCTCATCTTCATTCAGAATTTTTTGAAGCATGCTTTGAATAATATTATGCTTTTTATTTATTTCTAAACAAATAGACGCATGGTTTTAGGTTTTTTTTTAATACTTCTACCTGGCTACTAAAAATAGTTTTTTATGTTCTTTCAAGCGAGAAGTAACTTACGATTCTGAATCAACAGTGAGAAATTTTATGAATGTACTGCAAATTTCAATATTTCTTACGGATGTTCTTAAATGTTATTTTTTCAAAGTAACCGATGAGACCACAGTTGTGAATGGAGAATCCAATAAAATTATTTTTATAATAATTGATTTTCTACATAATTACATCGTTTTTCTTAGTAGATCAAAAGAATCTATTGTATGGCTGACAGGCAAAAATATACAGGAAGGATTTGTCTTTCATACACTTTTCCTCTTACGGTAATTGTGCTGTCATTATTTTATAAGATTTTAAACTCGTATCTACTTAGAAAACAACATATATGACTACATTTTAAAGTTTTTCTTACTCGTTTCCATCCCTTCCTGTTGATGTCGTCGTCGTTTGAAACGACGAAATGCTGACATAAATAGTACGACCAGTATGCGCAGAGAAATCGTCAGTCCACCGATCAGACCAACAATTCGTGTTATAGTTTCTATTAGACTATTACGCCGTGAAGACTTGTAAGTACAAGATACTGGCTGGCACTGAGCAAAATAAGAAGAGTAGTTCGAATATGGATTCCAAGACTCAATAAATAGTTCCGAAAATAGTTCACCAATTGTACTGTTTATTGAAAATCGACTAGCATTCGGAGACGAATTGAGCCGAGTAATATTGAGTGCAGGATTATCATAAAGGTTGACTATATTGCTCAAACAGTCTGTATTATCATAGAAACATTCAAGTGTTGATATTAGAAGAGATTCAATAGTAAAACACGATATATAAAAACCAGTGACAATATAGATCGGAACCGGGACACCATTCTTATACTGATATACAGCCGAAACCATTTTACATTGTGGATCGCTTGCACATGAACATGTAGAATTTAAAAATTTAAAACTATTGATGATCAAAATTGGATTAGCGATAGATATTGATGAGCTGCTTAAAATTGAAAATTTAAAGTTCTTGTATAAACCAGTAAGAATTTGGTTGACAAATGTTATATTGCGGTTAAGTCGAAGCAAGCGTAAAAAATTGTTTTCTGTTTCCGTTGTAAATTCATTGACAATAGAGGATACTTGACTATCAAATAGGTCTTGTGTGAGTAGTTGAGCAGTGAGCAGTTGTGTTTCTTTAAATTGTTGTAATGATTCAATAGCTGTCGTCATCGACAAATTACACAGTGAAATCATTTCTGTCCACTGTGTTACAGTATACGGAAAATCAAGAGCATAATTAGCGATATTGATAGTGTTAGTGTTACCAACTAAAGGAAGAAAGATATTTTTAAATCGAGTGACTATATCAACAGCAATCTCCTCGATATTGTAGGCGTTATCCAATATGTCTAGATATATACGTATTGGTATACTCCCTTTGATACTGTTGGAACATTCCTTTCGTTCTTCTATCACATAAACATATGCTTCTTTCCTTTCCTTGAGGGTTTGAGTATGGGCAGATGGGTGTGAGTAGGTGAGGGTGTGGGATGTATGATAAATGAAAACAATAATTACATTCACGTTAACAACTACACCAACATCCATCTTATAACGTTCTTGTTGTTGTTTTACAATAAACGCTGAACCCCAGGTTCTACACAAATTTACAGATATGTCAATGAACCGATCTGATGTATTATGAATATAATGCAGAATCAGTATTGCTTGCAGAAGGATTTTTCATTTTCATGCAAACTTGTGATTATGTTCCTGTAGAATGAACGTCTCAGATCTTTTACCGTATCACTCATCTTCTAAGGGATGATATTTTTTCGAGAAAGTGCTCAAACAACTTATTCCACATTCGAACGGATCCTACACAGATTAATGTCATAAAGGAACTATTTTTCGACATATTCAAAAATAAGCTAGAAACTGAGCTCCAGCTCTTTTGAATACATCTCGAAATATACAAAAAAGGTGTGCCATCTTCAATTCGAGTTTTCTGATATGATTTGAATGTAAAGAAAAGGAGGAACAGATTTGTAATTTCATCCAGTGGCATCCTTCGAAGATTATCTCACTGTATGATCAATAAATCTTAACTTTTCGCGTCTTCACAACTTTTTCGTTTATTATAAGTATGCTGTGAAACAGCAGTTTCTAAAAATACAATGACTTTTTAAAGCAAAACTTGATAATTATCTGTATGTGCATCAATAGTATAGTAGTGTTTCATCAAGGGAGGACTTTTTAGACTTTCGATCAGTCCTGTAAAGTGGAAAAGGTACTTACGGGTTATAGTATTAGATAAAGTACTTATCCAGGCGTTTGATAACAATTCACTCGTACACACTTGATGATAAGACGGTTGAAGTTGAAGAAAGGTGCTATAAGACGCAGTCAGTTTCGTGCATGGACATTCTAGAGACGAAATTAACCCAGTGGCACTCTGCGACTGTAATTGTTTGACAATAGTGATCGAAGGATTATTCACTTCGACCGATTTTGTTTCAATATTCACCAGTGTATAAATAAAG